TTATGGCTCCTTAATTCAGTCTTCATTGCTCGCTCCTTAATTTTCATTGCCTGGGGTTCCATCCTCTGCGCATTTTGAAGTTATTAGGGAAGTATCTGAAAGACAAAATTCATGTAGTTAGAAACAAATACAATAAACTTTCACATTTTAAGAAAGACAAATATACATAATGAGCACATTATTCTTCTGAGTGGCACATAGTTAATTGGTAAATTTGCAAAATCAAATTTAAAGATCTTTATTTGATGGATTTTCATGTTCTAAATATATAGGGAAGATGAGGCTATTTATATTTTGTTCTGGGATACAAGAAAATTGTTTTCTCACTTGAGCCTCATCATAACATGAGGTGCATCCTTAAATTAATTAATAAAGCAGTAAAACTAACCCATATCATATTTAAGTAATATGTTGCTTCATTTATTTTTCAATGTGGGATTTTCCGCTTTAACTAGGAAGGTTTGACACGTGAACAGCTTCATATGCCCTCAAAAGCACACAAGTTCACTGGGCTCGTTAGAGCAGAGCTTCATATGCCCCCATACAGAGAAGACAGAGCCTAGACGTGAAAAACGGGAGTAGCTCAGATCACATTTAAGCCACATGTTTCTTCTCTTATTTTTCGTTGTGTGATAGTCGGCCTCATTGCACTAGTGGCCTAACATTAATTATCTCATCGTGAAGGTGGGTCAATATTCGCATTCGTCTTCCATAGAGAATTGAAGAGGAAAGAGACGAATCTAGAGTGCATAGAGAATTTGATAGATTAATGGAAGAAAATATTTCTTCTTATTCATGAATAACCCAAAAGGATTACGGAGACACTCCTTTATTGTAGAAAGCTAGATAAAATCAATTGCAGCTTAATCCTACTCTTACTAATACCTACCATTGAGGACCAAACCTTACATCCTTCATTAACATTGATCGTTTTTCCAAAAGGACAAAAAATAAATAAATAAATAAAGGAAAGGGAGTATGTACATATAATTTATAAAGAAATAGTAATTTTATGCATAAAAACAATTAGGAAGCGAATAGGAAGTTTTGACCAATTCTATTGTGCAGGGTATGACACGAAATAGAAATTTGAATTGAAATTCATATATTGGCTGGTCACTAATTTACCTGCATGCAAAAGTTAGTTAAACGTTGGACTTAATCCTGAGCTCAAAT